ATTTTACTTCTTATTATTATTTATTAACCAAAATTTTTTATTTTTTATTTTATTTAATGAAGTATTTACTAATATTACACGATTTCTATTTATTGTTCCTATTATATTATTATTTTACCAATATTTTTAAATTTCTTTATGTACATTTTTCTTGATGATGCCCTAGTTCATATTAATTTATGGTGGGACTATTTTATTAAATGAACAAGATACTTCAAATACTTTAAAAATATTGACTGCTTTCTATGAACTACTTCTTCAAGAGCCAGTTGATTATTTACAGAATTATTTAATTGCAAACAAATCTGAATTTGTCATTTGATATAAAAATCAAATCACGAGAAATAGTAAATTTCAGTTAGAAGAAATTTAAAATCATAATATATGATCACAATCAAATATTGCAAAATAAAAGAATTTCTCAAAATTAAATGGAAATTACATGCCTTTTAACCATTCCATCACAACAATTTTAGTTGCTTGAATAATTATATTTTTGGAACTTTCAAGGGAAAAGAAGGCTGAGGCTTGCTAGATTTAGAAGGTGGTGTCCCACGTCGTCTATACTTGAACATACAACAATTGCAGAGTGTTGTATCTATTTCTAAGACGTAAAAATTAAGTTTCTAATAAATATTTCACCTCTACATTTGCTTGCAAGAATGCTTGCTCTAATTAAATAATATCATAATTATTTACTCTGCTTGCTTTTTAATTAAGTCTGAGGTAAGAATTAAATTTAAGTTTTGCCGCGATGAAAATCTGGTCTAAACGTTACCATTTATTATGGTTTAGTAACAAACTTTATATAAGGTACAAGGATTGAAAAGATCACCGGTAAATATATTTGTAACTGTAATCTTGTAAAAAATAGGTAATTGTCGCTATGTCGAACTTTTGACATTATGGATCAGGAAACGTTTAATTACATTTACAGAACGAAACTGTATTACAAATATAAGGAAAGACAAGTTCTTATGACTTTTCAAATACAATTATATACAAGTATGTGACATTTTTTTTACCATTCAAGTGGATAATTTTGGTTAAGTAATGAGTTCTTTTTAATATTCTCTTCAGAAGTATCAGAGTTTATCCCCAAAAGTACTCTTCACAAAAAAATTTTCACGTGATTTACTTTGAGATTTTAATAAAATTATTTATTTCTGCGTTGCGAATATTATATTTGACATATGCCCTACTGTAAAAATTCATCTGTTCAATTTATTATGGTTATTTGTCGCAAAAATAAATTTGCCCAATTAAAAGAAATAAATTAGTTGTGTCTACTTAAAATATCCTTATTTACTTATATTTTATTCTTATTTAGCAATTTCACATGGTTTATATAAATCAATATATTGATTTCTGTTGAAGATTCTAATTTTCGAAGTTCCACTTCATCAATAATTAGGAAAGGATTCTGAAAACCTGTACCACTTTGCTTAAATTTATATGTAATAGGTTTATTGTCCGAGATCGTTTCGGGGTGACTATAATCACTTTAGGATTGTTCAGAGCAAACAAATGATTTTTTTTTGGAATTTCGCGTCCTTTTCTTTTATTAAGTTCTTCTTTGTTTGGATTATTTTCTTAGCTTCCTCTTTCGGGTTAAATTGCTTTCGGTGAATTTTATTGATTACATTACTTCATTTTAATTGATTCTTTATTTTTTTTTAGTGATTTTTAAGGTTAAACTTTTGTCTGCAGCAATTATATATCTGTTTATTTTTATTTTACTAATGTGCTCTTGTAGATTTATCCTACTTTTAGGAACCGTTTCAAGTTGAATCAATTTCGGAATTAATAATAGGTAAAACGATTTTGATTTTATTTCTTTTTTTATTTTATTTTTTTTTTCTATACTGATTATGAAAAATTATAATTCTACTTTTAATTTTCAAAGCAAAGGTCAAACTAAATAAGGAAAATATGTTAAATACCTTTAATAGGCGCAGTCAGATAAGGTTTCTAATTAAAAAAGAATAGTCAATTTCAGTCACAACATCGATATGCGACAATAATGTCAGCAAATCAAAAATGGAGTAGCTAACTAAATGGAACAATCCATCTTGGTATTTTCCAAGTTTGATCAGCTTCTGATTCATTCGTACGAATACACAATATTAACCAATTTGTTTCAATCTGAAAAAAGATTGAAAAATTAGTGGACATATAGATGTTGCAAGCCAGAATCATGAGATCCGGCATCATTTTCAATTTAATCTGCTAATAAAAAACGGTTGTTTACATGTTAATTCATGCAGGAAATCATAAAAACAATTATAATTCGAGAGCATTACTTGATTAAAAAAAAATTAAAATACGCTCTTTGGCATTTTGTCTCAGAATTAAAACTGTCTTAAAGTGTGGTTTTTACTTGAAAAGTGTCGTGATAAAGTCTTTCAAAAGGATTAGTCGAAAAGGAGGTCTCTGAGAAGTATTAAACTTATTAAACCTATTAAGTATAATATAAGGATATTGAGAAACAAATGGAATTTCCTGGACTTTACATTGACATTCTTCTTGGAATCGGGTTAGTCATATTTTAAATCATTTATTATACCAATATTCACGAAAAGTCAAGAGTGTGACGAAAAGCCAATTGTGAAATTCATGGAGTCAAATTGTAGAGTTCTATTGACTAACCTTTTTTAAGGAATTTTTAAATATGGAATGTTTGAAGGATAAATTTCGGACTTTTTTAATTAAATCGTCCAAACTACATCAAAGTGAATTGATTTCAGCATTCCTATTCTTTTTTAAATATCATCTTTATATATAAAGAACCTGGCCTCGATTTTTACTTTTCGAATAACGCATATTGCATAAGAGATGCTGGGATCAAATTGCGGCTTCAACGGCATGACGTTCTTTTGTTATTTGCGTTGAAAAAGGTTCATTTTATCGTTTATTATCGGCACGGCTTGAAAATATTTTCATTACAGCTGTTTTCAAAATATGCGGGACACTCGGCAAATTTTAATGCCGAGTGTTTTGGTGGTCGGGGTGGTCGACAAATTGTAAAAATAACACTCAACAATTATATACTATAACACATATAAAGCATATAAAGCTATCAACGTAAGAAGAAAAATAAACGTCGCAAAATAAATAATGCGTAAATCAGATGTCACGTGTTTAGTAATTTGCTGAGTGTCCTGTATATTTTGAAAACAGCTGTAATTTTTTTCTTTTATATATAAAAAAAACCTACTTATCAGACTGCCAAGATGAAATGTAAGAAATGGGTTTTTTTGTAAAAAAAACGGGTTTTTGTAAAGTAATGGGTTTTACGCGAAAAAATTATCAAATAAAACACAGTTGCCGTGGTAAAACTGCGTAAACATATCACTAATTTTATGTAAAAAAGTTCTCCTGATGAGCCCTTCTAGAATTAGTAATTTTAAAATTTCAAAATATTTTTATGAGCCGTTTAACATCCTTAGTTTTCACAAATATGAGATTGATAGAAAAAATACAAATACAACACAGTAAAACTTTTTCAAATCATTTATCATTTTATTTTTCATTTTATTGTTGGTACTGTACATAAAATTTTTTATCCCGGATAATCAATTTATTTTGAGTGCGATTTATTTTAAAATTTTTATTTAATTCTGAATAGACAAATCCGCCCATATGTTCAAACCAATAAGCAAGCAAATTATCTAATATGTTTTTTAATTAAGCAAATCAAATTATCTTAAAAGAATTCACCCTGCTGACCCAGCAACCCAAATGAATTTTTGTAAGATAATTAATAACAAAAGCGAAAAAAAATTTTGCTGGCCCAGCAACCCGAATCTTTTTTTACTTTTGCTATGAGAAAGAAAAAGAAATTATATAATTAAAATATTTTAAGAGGATAATAAAAGTAAAAAAAATACTTTGCTGGCCCAGCAAGTCCAGTATTTATTTTACTCTTATTACCAGAAAGGAATGTGAATTATATAAAGAAAATTACATGTATCAATCTTTGACTCTCCCAAATGATTTTAAAAGTTGTTCTGGTGTAACATATCCTTGCTTAAATGGGGTTCACGAATACTTATTCAACAATCTTTCGCATCATGACTAATGCATGCACTAACATTTAACACAGGAACCTAAATATGATATTTCAATATTTGGACGTAAGAACATACATGGCAAAGTTTCCTTGTATATACCAAAAGGAGCAATCCAGTTGGTTTTTTTTTGACAAAGTTTAATACGCTTGTTGGTAGTTGTATTTGGCCTATTTGATACACATAAAAAGGAAAAGTTAATATAAAACGTTAGCCTATCTATTACGCTCAAAGCACTTATATTTGATAAAACTGAAGGTGTGGGACTGACTGTATGAGCAACAGCACTGGAACTCGATGTTCCATCTAAAGAAGATTGTGAAGTAGTTCTTTTGAGAGTTTTTGTAGTAGGAGAACGTGATGAACTTGTTTCTTTATTGTTTATTGAAACGTCGGTAAGCGTGTATAATATGAACGAAGTTGTTAAAGTTAGTCCAGGAAATAAACCTTCGAACTTGTCGTTGTGTTTTTGTGCTATTCTTGTTCTTCTAAAATAATATTACCTTTTAAATAAAAGTTGAGAAGTTAAACACAAAAATTTTGCTTAAAAATTTTTTTTGGAATTGAGATATATTTATACCAGAAAAGACGTCAAGACGCGAGTTTTGCAAGTGTATGTGATCAGCTAAAAACCTGGAACAGCTGTAAGGCCGAAAATGTTGAGCTTAAGGCTAGAGTTACGAAATTAATAAAAAAAATTTAATAACTGTATCACATGATAAAAACCGTTAACTAGTTATTAAGAAAAGTCCTAAAGCTTCGACAAGTCCAATACATCCGAAACACAGCTAATTTATATAGTAAATTCTTTTACATCCCTTTGTTCCAATGTTATTTCCCAAATTTTCTTTGCAAAGTGTGGGTACATTCATCAATTACTTAATAAAAAAAAATGTAAGCGTTGTTTTCTTTTTCTTTTTTTTTTTTATTTTTTATTTTTTTTTTTTTTTGAATATTATAAAAAAAAATTATTAAATCGTAACGTACAGGTTTTTTTTTTTTGGAAAAGGAAAGGTGAGAATGGAAAATGTTTGGAAAAATTTTGCATAATTTGAATCAATTTAAATAATTTGTTTAATAAATTAATAATATAATATATTTCGCATAAATATAAATACAATAATTACAGCATTATATCGAATATTTATAAAATACACGTGACCTACTTAGAAATTGAAAAAAATAAATACGTGATATTATTCTTTAATTACACTAAAGACTTCAATGTCTTCAATAGGTAAACCAACATCAACTTTAGTATCAATATCATAATAATTTTCATAGGTATCAAAGTCATAAAGGAAAAGATCTGGTCCAACATTATATAATTGATTACCAAAATTAAAGAAATTCCAACTCGTATAATTCTCATATATAGATTGATTTACGTTGATCACCCTGCCAATTTTAGTAGCATGCACATCTTGATCATTTTCAAAGGCAAATATGAAACTTTCTGAAGTAGATAACCATTGCCCTCTTCGAAATGCATAACCAATCGGGTTATAACCTCCATAGATCTTTTTGGAATGAACTTTGATCAATACCACAAACGGTCCCTGCAAATTACACTTATTATAAAATACCGTACGATCAAGTCCATCCCGACTTTTTAAGTAAATCAGATTAAACTTGTACCGATTGTTAAACAAAGGGAATATTGAATCGTTTCTATCTATCCAATTGGATATAATGGTTGCAAGTATTGGTTTGATGATGTTCGACGCTAGTTTTCCAACGCGAGGCGTTAAAGCCGTTGTCCTTGGTAAGGTATCCTTGTAATAAAATTCCTCAACTTCGTCATAAATATATTTAGAAATTATGGACTTATAAGGACGAACTCTGTCAAAAAAATCAACACGAGAAATATTCACAAACCGAATAAGCGGAATGAACGGACTTAACGTTTCCTTCAAAGTTTTGAAATTCTCCTTGCTCCACTTTGATCTATCACAATTCTTACTTCCTAAACCGGGAGTCTGTTCTATACCCCATTTAATTAAATAATCCCAGGCAACAATCTCTTCAATCTGAAAATCCTCCCTTTTAAGCAAGTCAAAGAGAATGTTTTTATCCAGTGATGGAAAGTTTTTCGATGAAACAAATGGTCGTGGGTCCGCACAGATTTCTTCAAGACAATAATTTTGCAATCTCTTGCAGCTATCAAGTTTAAACACAGTATGAACAACAAGAACGAGATTTTGTTGAATCCAACTAGTATGTTTTTCGAGAAGGAAATCTTGAACGTGCTCGAATAACTCTTCGAGAAGAAATTCATCTGATGCAATCAATAATCCAAAAATATTTTCACCTGATTGTACGGTTAAATCGAGTTCACCCATATAAATATATCTTCAAAATAATAAAAATTTTATTTTTGAATGATAATCGAACAAAGTTAATTTAAAAAAAGTCGCATATTTGAAATATGACCTACTTTAAGATCATGTCAAAAACAATCGGTGTGATATTCGGTTTATTAATCATGACCAGATTATTCTCCTTTGTAATCCAATTAGACGAAAATGCACTTTTGAAATATGAAGAGCGTGCCCGTAAAATAACTGAATGTGCACGAAATTCCTTTGTGTCTTGATTTTCACCAACTTGTATAACGACATTGTAATCATCTGCATCATTTAATATTAATGAAAGGTCCTTTGAAAGGCCGGAATGGAATATTATAGTCATTTATAAAAAGAATTATGATAGTTTTAGAAAATTTTCAAGCGAGAAAAAAAAAATGAAAAAATACAAAATTTATGTGCAGATTATATATAAAACCGGTTTTTCACAAATCATATTTGGCTAGGCTGTGAACCGTGGAATTTTCTAAGAAACTGTAATGTAATGCGTGTAACATCACTTGACTTGGCTGTGAGAAAATAATCGATCGACGCTATTGGGAAATATCTGAATTCATTTTAAAAAATAAAAAATTGATGAGGTATATTATCTATGGTTATTTGATGCCGCGCTGTAATTAAATTGGCCGTCATCTAATTAATTAATAATTATGATTATCTAGTTATTAATATTAAAACATCGTTATCGGATACGAAGGGCGACATTACGTGATAAATAACATACGATATTGGTGTAATTTATATTTTTTTATTTTATTTTATTTCGTAATTCTATTATTTAATGAAACAGCATTACAAAAGCAAGGACAGAAGAAATTTATGTATGACAAGATATTGAAGAAGATTCAAAGTTACCAGTGGTTGTACCGTTATGAAGAAAACTTCCAACACGTTTTTCTTTATTTTTTCTCCTTTTTTTTTTGATCCTTTTTTTTAAAAAAACATAATAAGTTAGGAATTTAATAAGACAACTTCTACCGGGATTTCTTATTTAAAAACTACCTTAAAAATGTTTCACAAAATAACTAACTTAATAATTCTTTATTTTTTTTATTTTTATCAAATACAGGTTAATATTTCGTTGGTCTTCCATTAGCCGTAAAAAAAAAAATTTCTACCGTATCCAATAAGACTATTTTCTTTTTTTTTTTTTTTTCTTACAAGAATAAGAACAACAGTCTTAGTTTCCGATTATTTCATTTTAATTCTTGATTTTTAGCATCATCTTTAATCAAAGGTAATTTTATTTTATTTGAAAATTTAACTGCGCCTTTTCGACCAGTTGGTTTAGAAACAAATGTCTTAAATAGAATCAATTTCAATTTCATCAAATCTATCGAATTAACGTATTAAAAAATTTTATTTTGAACCTATTATTTTAACAATTAACTTTAATGATCGAATGTATTAATGTAAATAGCACAAAGTTATGGAACACATTTCTTTAAAGTAATTTTTACATTTGTCGTTTTAACCCAATATCTGCAATTAATTTACACGAATTCTTTTTTTGGGAGGATAAGATGATCTTGAAGGAATAATTAATTCATATTGTTCATAAAAGTAATGTACACAAGTTTTAGTCTAAATTCAATTCATGAGTTTCCGCGAAAGTTGTAATAGGCAACATGAAAGCTAATATTAAAGATTTCATGTACTGCATTTATTGTAACAAATGATTTATATTTATCGCAGATCATCAAATGAAAAGAACAATATTGTATCTGATAATTTTTATTACAAAAAATACCCAAAATTAAATTCTATGATTCTATGATAAAGATTATTACGATCAACGTACGTATTAGCAATAAATCATTCTATTTTTTTTTTTTATTTTTTATTTTTATTTTTTCTAAAAAAAGAAAAAAAATCTAATCTATTCTTCGGAAATATGAAATCAAGATAATATACGAACCAGGCAAAAGAATTATTTTTTAACTACACTAAAGACTTCAATTTCTTCAACAGGTACATGCACATTTTTGCTAATATTACATACATTATTATAATTTCCAGAGTTACTAAAATTGAGATTTTGTCCGTTTGTATATAAATAATTTCCAAAATTAATGAAATTGGAGCTACTATAATTCTCTCGTATCGACATGTCCATATTAATTACCCTACCAAGTTTCATGTTATGTATATCATGATCATTTTCAAAAGAAAAGATAAAACTATCAGAAGAAGATAACCATTGATTATTTCTCGACGCATAACCAATTGGATTATAACCTCCATAAATTTTTTTTGATCGAACTTTTATCAACGCCACAAATGGTCCTTGTCCACAACACTTGTTATGAAACACCTTACGATCAAAACTATCCCGACTTTTTAGGTAAATAAGATTAAACTTATACCGGTTATTGGATGCATGAACGGTTGAATCTTTTTTATCAATCCAATTAGCTATAACGGTTGCGAGCATTGGTTCGATTATGTTTGATTCTAGTTTACTCACGCGAGGCGGTAAAGTTGATAACTTTGGTAAGGTGTTTTTATAATAAAATTCAGTAATCTCTTCATAAATATGATGAGGAATGATAGCTTTAAAAGGTCGAACTTTATCATAAAAATCAGCACTAGTAATTTCCATAAATCGAATAAGTGGAATGAATTGACTTAATGTTTTCTTCAACGCTTCAAAATCCTCTTGATTCCATGTAGCTACATCACACTTCTTGCTT